TCGAACCCAGGGCCTCGAGCATGCAAGGCAAGTGCTCTACCACTGAGCCACCTTCCCAGCTTATTTTAGACAAGATAGGCACCACTTCACCTGACCTGTAGAGAGAAACATTGTAAAAATCTTTGGCTTGTTTTTCTTCATTCTCTGTGTGGACCTCCATGATGTTATGACATTACCACAGATGGATATGATTTTTTTTCTAAAATAAAATTTATTTCAGAATTTGTGTGTGTGATGAGATTTAGAGGTTAATAAACTACTTTATTTAGGTCACTTGCGCATAACAGATGTCATCAGCTGATTTCATCTTCAGAGGTCACCATTTATAACCTGTCTCTGAATTTGTAGCCTGTTTGGAGTTTGCAGATCTGCTTCTCTGATTATTGCCCTTCTTACCCTTGACTTGATTGTTAAGTTGTTGCTTCCTTTGTTTTTGTATAAAGCCATGAAAGAATTATAGTTTTCTACATTGAGAACTCCATGAACTATAGGACAGCTCCCTACAAACTAGAATTTTGTTCCCAGAAAGCATACTGATTGCCTTTTACCTATAGAGTCAGAAACTTTTTTTTTTAAATTAGAGCTCCTCTTTTCCAGTTTTTATAAAAAAAAGCCTTTAGATAATAATAATAGGTTCATGCCTATAATTTTAGCTACTCAGGAGGCTGAGATCTCAGGATTATGGTTCGAAGCTATCCTGGCAGAAAAGTTCCTGAGACTTTTTTTGGGGGTTCCGGTCGTGGGGCCTGAACTCTGGGCCTGGGCACTGTCCCTCAGCTCTTCAGCTCAAGGCTAGCACTCGAGCTACAGCGCCACTTCCGGCTTTTTTCTTTTTCTTGCTTATGTGGTGCTGAGGAATTGAACTCAGGGCCTCAGGCATGCAAGGCAAGTATTCTACCACTGAGCCACCTTCCTAACCCCCTGAGACTCTTATCTCTAATTAACCAGCAAACACTGAAGAGAGGATGTGGTTCAAGTAGAAGAGTGTCAACCTTGAGCAGAAAAGCTAAGTGACAGCACAAAGCCCTGAGTTCAAGACTCAGTACTGACACAAAAAGAAAAAATCCTCACCATTACCAGTTTTCTGTAGCTGATACTTTATTAAATTAGTTTAAATTTCTCTGCTTGATTTACTTTAGATCAGGGGTTCTCAAACTGATCCATGGGTCTAATGTGGCCCGTTGCTTGTTTTTTGTTTTGTGTGTGTGTGTGTGTGTGTGTGTGTGTGTGTGT